TCTCGGGGCCTTCTGAGTGGACTGAAGAATCATACGCTGAAGAGATTAGAGCGTTAGGCGTATGCTGGGAGACGATCATATATTTACTCATGTCCCTAATCATGAATCAAGCCGCTTTGCTGCTCCTTTCTGCTCTCAAGGCTTGGATATTCATGCCATTTGCTGCTCTGACACTGGGAATGTGCTTCTCAATATATAAATTTTTACCCGAGAGAGATTTTGATTTTCTTTTCTATTTAAGTGGAATCTACTATAGTAAATTTTATACTAGTATTATGCACAAATTATCATTACTAAAATAATTTACGCAAAAATAATACCTCACCCTAACAGTGCTTTCAAATGTAAAAAGATGCATAAAATATGCACATGACTCATTTCTTAACTTCTTTAAGGACTAAAATCGCATATTTACTTTATTGTTGTGAAAAAAACTCATCAAGTAACATTAATCTCTCTTGTATGCACATAAATTCTCTCTATATAATATTCGTAATAAGATAAGAATTTTCTATGTTTTGAGATAGGAAATATCAGAATATATAATTTTAAATTTTTTCTCCTTCATATTGCGTGTCATACTTAAAAACCTTACAATCTTACAGGTGATTCATAATATATTAAGTGAGATTAATGTTGGAAATAAGGTGACAAAGTGGATTTCCCTTACTTATAACTCCATAGTGCTATGGGGAAGTACTAGCACGAAAGCAGTAAATATGGCAGCATCTCACAACTTCTGTTATGGTTGGAGATGGTTATTTTCCTGTTGCAGGTTTTTTGGCTTTTCCACTTCTTGTATTGTCTTTTTTTCTTAGTGAGACCTCGTGGTTTCTTATTAAGAAAGGGCATGTAGATGAGGAAATATCTACCCTTAAGATGATGAGGAAATGTGAAGCAGAAGAAGAGCTGCAGTTGTTGGCAGGCATGATGGAAAATGAATGCAAGAGGAAAAGGAAGAAATTATCACACTCGCACCTTTTACTACTTAACATAGTAACTCAAAATTTCCAGCTAGTGTTGGGCTTAGACTCAATATTATTCTTTGGACCATTACTTCTGCAATCAGCTAGATACACCTGTCATGCCTCATTTGTCGCTCCGCTCATTGCCGGAGTTGTTCGGACTGGAGTTGCTGGACTCACATATTCGAGTTATAGCTTCTTCGGCTAACGGAGGAATCTTGTCTCGGCATGTTTAGTCATGATTTTAGCACATGTACTTCTTCATTTCTTTCTTATTTAGCTATTCTTGTATATATCAATTTTTATTAACGGAAATATAGCATATGTAACTTGATATTAGTTTTCTAAGATTTTTTCAGATTTTCTTGCTGGGTCTCTTCTGTTTGTTAGAAGACCATATCTTTCAACTGAGCCAAAAGAGTGCCTGCGCTCATAGGCTACTATTCAATGTTCTCGGGGCCTTCTGAGCGGAGTGAAGAATCATACGCTGAAGAGATTAGAGCGTTTGGCGCATGCTGGGAGATGATCATTTATTTTCTCATGTCCCTAATCATGAATCCAGCCTTTTCGATGCTCCTTTCTGCTCTCAAGGCATGGATATTCATGCCATTTGCTGCTCTGACAGTGGGAATGTGCTTCTCAATATATAATTTTTTGCCCGAGAGAGACTTTGATTTTTTTTTCTATTTAAGTGGAATCTACAATAGTAAATTTTATTCTAGCATTATGCTTAAATTATCATAACTAAAATAATTTACGCAAAAATAATACCTCACCCTAGCTGCTTTCAAATGGAAAAAGTTGCACAAAATATGCACATGACTCATTTCTTAACTTCTTTAAGGACTAAAATCTCATTTTACTTTATTGTTGTAAAAAAAAACTCATCAAGTAACATTAATCTCTCTTGCATGCACATAAATTCTCTCTATATAATATTCGTAATAAGATTAGAATTTTCTATGTTTTGAGATAGGAAATATTAGAATATATAATTTTAAATTTTTTCTCCTTCATATTGCGTGTCATACTTAAAAACCTTACAATCTTACAGGTGATTCATATTATATTAAGTGAGATTAATGTTGGAATAAGGTGACAGAGTGGATTTACCCTACTTATAACTCCATGGTGTTATGGGGAAGTACTAGCACGAAAGCAGTAAATATGGCAGCATCTCACAACTTCCGTTATGGTTGGAGATGGTCATTTGCCTGTAGCAGGTTTTTGGCTTTTTCACTTCTTGTATTGTCTTTCTTTCTTAGTGAGAGCTCGTGGTTTCTTATTAAGAAAGGGAGTATGGATGAGGAAATATATACCCTTAAGATGATGAGGAAATGTGAAGCAGAAGAAGACCTGCAGTTGTTGGCAGGCATGATGGAAAATGAATGCAAGAGGAAAAGGAAGAAATTATTACACTCGCTCCTTTTACTGCTTAACATAGTGGCTCAAAATTTCCAGCTAGTGTTGGGCTTAGACTCAATACTATTCTTTGGACCGTTACTTCTGCAATCAGCTAGATACACCTATCATGCCTCATTTGTCGCTCCGCTCATTGCCGGAGTTGTTCGGGTTGGAGTTGCTGGACTCACTTATCCGAGTAACAACTTCTTTGGCCGACGGAGGACTCTAGTCTCGGTATGTTTAGTCATGATTTTAGCACATGTACTTCTTCATTTCTTTCTTATTTAGCTTTTCTTGTATATATCAATTTTTATTAACGGAAATATAGCATATGTAACTAGATATTAGTTTTCTCAGATTTTTCTAGATTTTCTCGCTGGGTCTCTTCTGTTTGGTAGAAGACCATCTCTTTCAACTGAGCCAAAAGAGTGCCTGCGTTGGCATGGAATTTTCCATACCCCTCATAGACTACTATTCAATGTTCTCGAGGCCTTCTGAGCGGAGTGAAGAATCATACGCTGAAGAGATTAGAGCGTTAGGTGCATGCTGGGAGATGATCATTTATTTTCTCATGTCCCTAATCATGAATCTAGCCATTTCGATTCTCCTTTCTGCTCTCAAGGCATGGATATTCATGCCATTTGCTGCTCTGACACTGGGAATGTGCTTCTCAATATATAATATTTTGCCCGAGAGAGACTTTGATTTTTTTTCTATTTAAGTGGAATCTACAATAGTAAATTTTATTCTAGCATTATGCACAAATTATCATTACTAAAATAATTTAAGCAAAAATAATACCTCACCCTAGCAGTGCTTTCAAATGGAAAAAGATGCACAAAATATGCACATGACTCATTTCTTAACTTCTTTAAGGACTAAAATCTCATTTTACTTTATTGTTGTGAAAAAAACTCATCAAGTAACATTAATCTCTCTTGCATGCACATAAATTCTCTCAATATAATATACGTAATAAGATCACAATTTTCTATGTTGTGAGATAGGAAATATCAAAATATGTAATTTTAAATCTTTTCTCCTTCATTTTGCATGTCATACTTAAAAAGGTTACAATCTTGGAGGTGATTCATATTATATTGAGTGAGATTAATGTTGGAAATAAGGTTACAAAGTGGATTTCCATTACTTATAACTCCATGGTGCTATGGGGAAGTACTAGCACGAAAGCAGTAAACATGGCAGCATCTCACAACTTCCGTTATGGTTGGAGATGGTTATTTGCCTGTAGCATATTTTTTGGCTTTTCCACTTCTTGTATTGTCTTTCTTTCTTAGTTAGACCTCGTGGTTTCTTATTAAGAAAGGGTATGAATGAGGAAATATCTACCCTTAAGATGATGAGGAAATGTGGAGCAGAAGATGAGCTGCAGCTGTTGGCAGGCATGATGGAAAATGAATGCAAGAGGAAAAGGAAGAAATTATCACACTCGCACCTTTTACTGCTTAACATAGTGGCTCAAAATTTCCAGCTAGTGTTGGGCTTAGACTCAATACTATTCTTTGGACCATTACTTCTGCAATCAGCTAGATACACCTATCATGCCTCATTTGTCGCTCCGCTCATTGCCGGAGTTGTTCAGGCTGGAGTTGCTGGACTCACTTATCCGAGTAACAACTTCTTCGGCCGACGGAGGACTCTAGTCTCGGCATGTTTAGTCATGATTTTAGCAGATGTACTTCTTCATTTCTTTCTTATTTAGCTTTTCTTGTATATATCAATTTTTATTAACGGAAATATATCATATGTAACTTGACATTAGTTTTCTCAGATTTTTCCAGATTTTCTCGCTGGGTCTCTTCCGTTAGGTAGAAGACCATCTCTTTCAACTGAGCCAAAAGAGTGCCTGCGTTGGCATGGAATTTTCGATACCCCTCATAGGCTACTATTCAATGTTCTCGGGGCCTTCTGAGCGGAGTGAAGAATCATACGCTGAAGAGATTAGAGCGTTAGGTGCATGCTGGGTGATGATCATTTATTTTCTCATGTCCCTAATCATGAATCCAGCCGTTTTGATGCTCCTTTATGCTCTCAAGGCTTTGATATTCATGCCATTTGTTGCTCTGACACTGGGAATGTACTTTTTAATTTTTAAATGTTTGCCCGAGAGAGACTTAGATTATCATTTCTATTTAATTGGAATCTACTATAGTAAGTTTTATAATAGCATTATGCACATATAATAATTACTAAACTAATTTACGCAAAAATAATACCTCACCCTAGCAGTTTTTTCAAATGGAAAAAGATGCACAAAATATGCACATTACTTATTTGTTAACTTCTTTAATGACAAAAATCTCATATTTACTTTATTGTTGTGAAACAAACTCATCAAGTAACATTTATCTCTCTAGCATGCACATAAATTCTCTCAATATAATATTGGTAATAAGATCATAATTTTCTATGTTGTGAGATAGGAAATATCAGAATATATAGTTTTAAATCTTTTGTGCTTCATATTGCATGTCATACTTAAACAAAATCTTGCATGTGATTCATATTATATTGAGTGAGATTAATACTGGAAATAAGGTGCCAAAGTGGATTTCCCTTACTTATAACTCCATGGTGCTATGGGGATATACTAGCACGAAAGCAGTAAACATGGCAGCATCTCACAACTTCCGTTATGGTTGGAGATGGTTATTTGCCGGTAACAGGTTTTTGGCTTTGCCACTTCTTGTATTGTCTTTCTTTCTTAGTGAGACCTCGTGGTTTCTTATTAAGAAAGGGTGTATGGATGAAGAAATATCTTCCCTTAAGATGAGGAGGAAATGTGGAGCAGAAGCAGAGCTGCAGCTGTTAGCAGGCATGGTGAAAAATGAAGCCAAGAGGAAAAGGAAGAAATTATCACACTCGCCCCTTTTACTGCTTAACATAGTGGCTCAAATTTTCCAGCAAGTGTTGGGCTTAGACTCAATACTATTCTTTGGACCATTACTTCTGCAATCAACTAGATACACCTATAATGCCTCATTTGTCGCTCCACTCATTGTCGGAGTTGTTCAAGTTGGAGTTGCTGGATTCACTTATCCGAGTAACAGCTTCTTTGGCCGACAGAAGATACTAGTCTCGGCATATTTAGTCATGTTTTTAGCACATGTACTTCTTCATTTCTTTCTTATTTAGGTTTTCTTTGTGTATATCAATTTTTATTAACGGAAATATAGCACATGAAACCTGATATTAGTTTTCTCAAATTTTTCCAGGTTTCCTTGTTGGGTCTCTTCCGTTTGGTAGAAGACCATATCTTTCAACTGAGCCAAAAGAGTGCCTATGTTCTCATGGAATTTTCCATACCCCTCATAGGCTGCTATTCAATGTTCTTGGGGCCTTCTGAGTGGACTGAAGAATCATACACTGAAGAGATTACATCGTTAGGCGCATGTTGGGAGACGATCATATATTTGCTCATGTCCCTAATCATGAATCAAGTCGTTTTACTGCTCCTTTGTGCTCTCAAGGCTTGGATATTCATGCCATTTGTTGCTCTGACACTCGGAATGTGCTTCTCAATTTATAATTTTTTGCCCTAGAGAGACTTTGATTTTCTTTTCAATTTAAGTGGAATCTACTATAGTAAATTTTATATTATCATTACTAAAAATATTTACGCAAAAATAATACCTCACCCTAGTAGTGCTTTCAAATGGAAAAAGATATGCAAAATATGCACATGACTCATTTCTTAACTTCTTTAAGGACTAAAATCTCATATTTACTTTATTGTTGTTAAAACAACTCATCAAGTAATATTAATCTCTCTAGTATGCACATAAATTATCTCAATATAATATTCGTAATAAGATCAGAATTTTCTATGTTGTGAGATAGGAAATATCAGAATATATAATTTTAAATCTTTTGTACTTCATATTTGTCACGACCCAAACTAACTCCTGTCGTGATGGCGCCTATCGTGGAACTAGGTAAGCTGACTCATTTCCAAAACAAACCGATATTTTTATTTCAAAGATAATTTCAATGTTATTTAACATTAAAAACCTTCATAAAGGTGTTCCAATCAAAATAAAAGTGCGGAAGGAAAAGCCCGACATCGGGGTGTCACTAGTCATGAGCATCTACTACAATCTGTGTGACAATATCAAGGCTAACTCAGCATGAAAAATAGCTAAATACAACTAGAGGAAGATAAGAGGGAGAAGAGCAGGGGCTGCGATCGCCAAACAACTACCTTGCTATCTCCAAGAAAATCTGCAACCAGAACAATCAATAACCGCTACCATGTCCAGCTACACCTGAATCTGCAAACAAGGTGCAGGGAGTAACGTAAGTACGCCAACTCAGTAAGTAACAACAATAAATAAAGACTGAGCAGTAGTGACGAGCAATAAAGCATACAACATTCATATCAGGAAAACTCAGTAAAATACCACATGCTTTTAAAATCAGATTTGAAGCAAAACATCTCGTTTAAACCCAGTTCCAGTAAAAATTATTTGAAGATATTTTTCAACAGTTTTCAAACAGAGGAAAAATGTGAAGGTGGGCAAAATGGTGAAATCATAAACAGTCCCTCGGGCAAAACATCACTCATATACAGCCCCTCGGACAAACCTCACAGTCACTCGTGCCACTCGGGCATACCTCACAATTACTCTTACCACTCGGGCATACCTCACAATCACTCTTGCCACTTGGGCATACCTCACAATTACTCATGCCTCCCAGTCACTCAGCACTCGGCAC